ATGTTTGTAAACGCACCCACGACACAGGAGATAATCCTAGTGTAGGGCAACGTTTTTTTAAGAGAAAAAGAAAAAAAAGAATAAGGACATCGAATTTTCTTTAGAAACTAAGCATTGAATACTCTCAACACTAAAAACATTGTCCGTGATGGGATGCCCTGCGGAGGTGTTCACGCCTCTTTATAAAAATACACACGACTTATAGAGGAGGAGCGAAAAGTCCACTTTTGAAAACCAAAACCATTTAATGTCCTGCAGATCTTAGGAGCTATAAAAACTCCTATGGAAGAAGGTTATCTAACATTATAACAATAAAATACTAAAAATAAAACGAGCAGGTGTTACTACAAAATAATTTAAAGCTGCAGATACCATTTTATTTCACAAAAGTAACTGAACTACATAAATCCTTTGTTAAATAGTTCTAGTGGATTAAATATATGTGCACTGTTTGGTTTTGTAAATAGGGATGGTAAACTGGCCTGCAGGTCAAGCTACTCCATTTTATCAATTCGATTTTCGACCTCATACATAGACAAAATAAAGTTGTAAATCTAATAAAGAAATTGACAGAAAAGTATAGGTTGGTCTGCCAGTCTGTGCGATTATGCATCAATACGGTAAACTAATGTGTTCACTTAATAAAACTGAGTTACTATGTAATTTCAGGAATATTTTGAGATATTTATGTGTACGAAATTAGGTCTGAGCCACGGAATAAAACGTTTTGTTCTAGTTTCCGTTGTTTTAAGTGTGCAATCCATTTTATGGTTAGTGTTTTCGTTATGAATATAAAACTAGATTTAGGTAAGGTTGACTTGTCAAAGTAAAAGCCTGATCAGTTTTTCGGTTTCGGTACTTAATTAATGCAATTGGTTATCATACTAATCCTTAGATACTATAATATTATAAATGGGAAAGTGAGTTTGTTTGTTTGTTCCGCTTTCACGCCATAACTACCTACTAAATAGATTGCTTTGAATTTTTGCAGACGTAAAGTTAGAAGTCCGCATTAAATAATAGGGTACTTTTTATCCCGAAAAAAATTGATCTTCCCGAGGGAAAACAAAAGTATTGGTATAGATGGCGCTGTGTGTATTGGTATATTATTATGTCACAGGCTACTTTTTATCCTTTTGTGACGCGAGCGAAACCGCGGGTAAAAGCTAGTAAATATATATTTAAACTTATCTGTCTATAGACATCCACACTACAATAATATATTTATATAGGTATTTATAGTATAAATAGTATAAAAAACTGCATCTGTGTGCATACAGGTACCTATTAGTTTCATTTAAGTTTATATTAAATCACCGTTTACTTCAACGTTCCTAATTAAAACTACGTAAGCATTGTGTCAATTATAAATCGGTTTCAATACCAAATATACCCAAGTTTTTTGTAGTCATAGTGTTTAGACTTCATCATTAACAAAATTTGTACACCTACGTAACAAAAACACAAATAAAAATGCATCAAAGACAAGAAAGACTCACCCTCTCAATATTCGGCCGTCGTCTCCGAAAGAAATCAGAAATCCCACACAAATACATAGTTCACAGTCTCACTGCAATTTATTAACTAAAATATATTTATCAGCGAATTGTTTTCAACAAAAAACTGACACAAATCGTTCGAGGGTATTGCACTAAACCGAGTGACATTGTATTGACGATAGCGTCGCTACTTCTTAATAACTATAAGAATTACTGCACTGCACAGGATGTGGTTTATTCATATTGTTTAAATCTGGACTTTATTGTACGTTACATCATTGTTACATTCAGGAATGAATTTTATGTAGATGTTGTGTAGATTGATTTTTCAGTACACTATGAAAACATATGCAAGGTGTGATAACCCGTTGCTTAAAATGCTTTAGTTAAAATAGGCTCATCGGGCCCCGTTTACCTAAATAAGAGGGTTTAAGGCGGGTTGGTAATATTCAGGTTATTCAGGTTAATCAGAATGCGCTGCAGCTGCGCTGTTAATCTTTGTCAAGAGCTGAGCTGATGACCGGTGACAAATTAAGGTCTTCTAATCAGTCGTGACCACATCTTTTTTGCACCTATCTTATATCACTAGATCATTCAATTATCATTTAAAATAATAAGAAAGGTTTACGGCAGACTTATGGGACTTAATTAAATCTGAGTTTAGATCTAAATATAGAACTAATAACTTTATCTATTTTAGCTAATAAAATAACATTGTGGTGAAGACCACCTGTCTGCAACTAAGTTGGTAGTAAATGCTAAGCTCGAATATAAATTTTGTAAGAAAGAAAGAAAGAAATCATTTATTTGCTAATAATGTAGGTATACATATAAGTTGAAATAAAGTTAATTGACCCAGTACATTTTACCTTTCGGCATGCAAATTAAATTATAATGCGATTTGAATGTCGTCAAATAGATAACTAGGTACAAAATTGTCGGTTTAATTAATGATCCCAGTCTTCCATATCATCACGTAGGTCAAAATGATCCTAATTAATTGTATTCATTAAAAATCCTCAAACACACACACATACATAGGGCTTTTAGAAATGAAACCCGCTGTACATAATGCGTTAGTTAAAACCGCTTCAATCCTGCGGGAACCAAATACTCTTAATTGTTAGTAGTCCGCTCCACTTGGTCGCGTCGACTGTCAACACTACCGGCCAATAACGACCCGTTGTTTTATTGAACGGTAATCGATACTATTCGATTGTTCTTATGAAGATTTGTTGCTGTAAAGGATTTTTCTCGACGATCAATTCCAGCTACATACCTATAAATTATACTTGCTAAGTGTAAGTACAAAATAAGGGAGCTAAGAATCTGGTTTAATGAATAAAAAATTAAATATCAATCATCACTCACTACATAGTATAAAACAAAGTCGCTATCCGCCGTCTGTCTGTCCCTATGTGTGCTTAGATCTTTAAAACTGCGCAACGGATTTTGTTGAGGTTTTTTTTAATAGATAGAGAGATTTTTAATGAAGCATAATACATGCATATTGCACCCGTGCGAAGACGTCGGGTCGCTAGTTTAATATAAAGCTATTGTGAGTCAACACTCAGGATACCATCATTATAAGTATCTAACTTCAGATAGGCTAGGTCTACTTAGTATCCTAATCATGATTTTCTATAGATATTTTTAATTTCAAAATATCCAGAGAAAAATGGTGTAGACAAAGAGATTTTTCACGAAAGTTGCAACTAACTAATCACAAATAATCACATCGCTATTGGCAAAATATAAACAGATAACTACTTATAGGACTGTATTAACTAAATAGTTCATGAAAGTGTCTCATACTCTCACCTGTTGCCGTTCATTCATTCTGATACATTTGACTGTACTGCACTCGTCGTACAATTTTACCGGTCCATTACATAAGATTTAATGAACACTGAATTTATACTGGTCTCAATATTGCAAGCAACATTATTTTGTCATTCTCAGAACTTCAGAAGGATTAGACACAAGTGTAACTACAGGTGTAACAGAAATAATTTGTCCCCGAATTGATTTTGACTACGAGATGTAATCTCAAATTCTCAATACAAACTATACGACTAGCAAACTGCAAATAATATTGATATATGTACATACCTGTTTAACTAATGTTGCATAATTTGAAAATAAACTAAATAAAGAAATAAAACCAAAATACGAAGATGAAATAACACGTGGTTGTAGATAAATTTTTACTTATCTAAGTAGGTACTAGCTTCTGCCAACGGATTCGCCCATTCTCGTGGGATAAAAAATGGCCTATATGTTACCCCTGTTCCATATTTCATCTCGATTCCTTCAGCCCTTTTGACGAGAAGGAGTAACAAACCCAGAAACATATAGTGAACTCATCTAATTCTGTGACTCGCCTAATAATTCGGTTTAGTAAATTAGGTAGAACTCTTAGGTTTCTAGAAAAAAATCTGATTATTTGTGCTAATATTCCTCATAAAAGACTGATTAAAACTCATGGGGAGACTGAATTAAATTAATTAATAATTTATTGGTATTTTATTACTCAAATGCCTTTGTCACGAAGTTAGATGAGTTCACCCTACATACAAACTTTCGTATTTATAATATTAGTAGGATAGTAGGATCTACTGGTATCCCGTCTGTTCTTACCTGCATACTAAATAACTGGTCTGACAGTTTAACAAAAATGCTATTGAACTGTGCCGTTATCGTCGACTGTATACTTCATAATTTGTTTACAAATCACATAATTATTATGACTTATGTTATGAACAAGTATATCAACAAAAATGATAGTTAAATATGTACGTATGTTAATTAATGTAGGACATACTGATATACTTACAATATTGTTGCGAATGGTCATGCTCACATCAGTGCAGATTATTCACATCGATGTTGCAGATTATTCACAACACAAAAGTCAAAGTCAAAATCATTAATTTCAATTAGACCAGAAAGACACTTTTGAACGTCATCAAAACATTTTTAAAGTAAAGCTATTTGCTTATAAGTCAGACTGTATGAACTCGCAAACTTTAGCAAAGTATACATTAGTAGGTGGGTATTTACTTAATAGTAGGTAACTATCTAAGCTATCTATAGTACCAGGAAAGAAGAAAATAAAAAATATTCGTTTAAGATAATTTATTTTTATATCTACACATATTTCCCGAAGTTCATATTCGTCCAGTCGTAATGATGCCCTAACAATAGGAGGGCTATTAATTAGCCCTTTGTAATTGATATAGTCCTAATTATTATGATCTAAGTAAGTACCTATAATGTCTTTTGTAATGTCACAGTCAACTACCTGGCTTAATTAAGTAGGCCATTCAACGAAAGGCCTGAATGACTTAATGACTAGTCATTTTATTGCATGACTCAATTTAACCGTCAGGCCGATAGTTGAAAGCTGAAGGAATTGTCATTAAAATATCCGAGTTGCTACCAGAATTGATTGGTCATTGTTAGGTTTGATCTGTGACCTGCACAGAGATCAAATTAATCGCCATTAGAAATAAACAGCTATATAACTACCATAATTGTACCGCGATATCTATTAATAAACAGGCTAGGCCCTTATTACAATGGCTTATTTAGCTAGCTGGCTGTTACATAATTATAAGTACCTATATTTTATTAATAAGTAATTTCAGCTATTATCTATAAATATCTACAAAAATAGCTAAACAGATTCGACGAAAATTTAATGAACGACTTGTTTACCTTTCTTTCTTTCAAAAACATTGTTTTCCTTGAAAATTACTACGCGAACAAAACGGCTAGTTGTTACAATTATTAAACCATTGTGCCCAAGTCTCTATTATAACCTAGATACCTACGTAACTTATTATCATTTATTGGCATTTTTGAAGTAGGAGCGGCAGTTGAAGATATTTGATATCTTAAACCAAAATCGAAGTCATCCCTTTCGGATTCAAGCTCTTCGAAAACAAATCTTCTTTTTGGACGTACAGTTGTTGTTTTAAGCTTAAGTTTCGATGTTTTTTCTTTGCTGTTGTCTGTGAAAGTACGGCCTTCTTTATTTCGACAGTAGGCCCGGACTTGTCCCTTGAGATCGTGATTAGGTTTTGATTTGATGATAGCCGTAAAGTGTCTGTAACCGACGCCTCCTCTCAGCAGCACGGGAATTGCTTCTGACGATTCTATCGCTATATACGCTATCTGTAGAGAGCAAAGAAAATTATTATATTCAATTATAAATATCGATAGTAACTCGTTACAAACAAACTATCATTTTGCTGTGAATGAATAGGTTGGTAATATTATTTTCGTAGAAGCGCCTGATATTTATGAATGTACGTAATTAGTCAATTTAAGTTTTATTGCTATACATTATTACTGTTAAATTGCATAATGATTGATTTGATTTGGCTTACTCGGTAATTGCTGGAAATAACAAAATGGTAATGAGCGATAAAATGACTTTAGCATAATTGGTTTAATGAATAGATTATGAAAACAATAAAATACTCTAGGCAGGTATGCCTGTATATACCTGAGTAGGTATATTTACGCCAGTAGGTAGGTCAATGCAATGTATAAGACAACTGACTCGCCCCCATTCTCCTCATATTAAGAACATGTAATTTTTATTTTCGCAATTTTCAGAGGTGCGTAAAAATACCTATTAGATAATTATTATCTTTCTTTAAGTAAGTAACTCAGTATCAATGCTCACCAAACAATCAAACATCCCTTGACACAGGATACGCTGCCCGTCTGCGGTAGCATTATACTCAAACCGTTGCCTATAGACCCTGACATCATTGTCGAACCTCACTCCTTGGTATATACTCGGACGTGTAATAATAAGATTACTCTTTGACGCAGTCGTTGGCAAAGGTTGTGGATATGCTTCTTCAAAGTTCGTATTGAACCTGAAAGAAGTAATAGGTAAAATAGATGGGTACCTATATGTCTTTCTTTTACAAGCCCTGCATAACCTCAAAGACTGCTGTAACTTCTGTATACCAGACAGATGGGGCTCAATAAGGCTGATGCCGATATGGAACCACGGAGGACTTAACAGGTTGCCGGGGCTCAAGATCGAAGTGCAGGAGTAGGAACGGGGTGGTTTTTAGTCAGTAAGACTCTAACACTCCCTCTCGCCTCACCAGCACGGGAGAAGTCATTGGATGATATCCAGGACCTACACTAGGTTCAAAAATGAAAACACCGAAAAAATTAAGTCCTTCAGTGTAATTCAGAGACATGAACAATCTGTGGATCCCGCAAGGAAATAAACCATAAGATAGCATTAGAACAGAATAAATAGCTAAATAATTGTAATAATGATATCGAAATTAAGTTACGAGGAAGGATGTTGAAAAAAAGAGCGGACATAATGCCACTTAGAAATTATTGAGGCAGTTATTTATGTGTGCGTGGTAATGGGATCCACGAGGTTTCCAAGTTACCACTTAAGAAAATGACAGATGCCCTTCGTGTCAATGTGTGTAAGTTCTGCGTGTAAGTCTATAGTAACCAGGTGCCACAGTCGTTGTTTCAGGAGACTGTTTCCGCCGTTTTTTAATGTGTACAAGTAACTAGGTACTTACATCCGTCGTCCTTCCTTTTTATCGGGATTAATGTCCTTCTTGCTGAATTTTAAAGCATTTCTAGCACTAACTAAACGTACAGCTATTGTATAAAAGAGCACGATAAATATATCTGTAGTTAATTTCATAATAAATAATTTTTCATAACGGTGTAAGAAACATGAGGCTTGCTATATTTACGGCAATGGAGTAGGTTAAAAACATGAATCCATTGTTATATACTGCTAGTCTGTGGTAATGGCCAATATGGCCTGCGATATTTTATGAGTTTTTTATAGGTATACGCCTACGATTTTCCACCACATGGCATAGTTATAAAATGCACCGTCAAGGCCATGAAAAACAATTACTGTTATTGCTTAATTTTCCAATTTTATAATTATTTTTGAACTCGAGTGTTAAGCCTGAATGATTATTGCTATTACCTGTTACGCAGAATAACTCGTAGCAATCGCTGTGCTTATCATTGTTAAACCGACCAAAATAAAAATCTTAATTTTGTATTGGGCAAAATACCTACCTACCTATTATTTCAATATATGGCACGGGTCTAAAATATGAGTCGCCATCTAGCTGGATCATAGAGCAACGGTCCGCCGGTGGCCCGTGTTGCTCTATGAGCTGGATATAGGCTCTTTCTTTATCCTATCATTCCACATGAATCTTAAAAAGTAACAGAACAGTTGATTATAAATACTTAACTATATAATATATCGACAAAATTAAGGCTACTAAAGCACGTTCCTCTAACTAGAATTGAAGACCATAATCGCATTTATGTTTTCTATTGTGTTCAATTATTCGGCGTTTTACGCACGGACGTAGTATTTTTATATTTTATTACATTTTTGGTCGATTGTTTGCAGAAGCACACCTTAAACACATTTTTTTCTTTGGTCTACACAAGACTATCGGCGTGTTTGTTGGCAGCACAATATATTAAAGCAATACAACTAATGAATTGTTTTATAACTCATGGCTAAACGTAATTTAACTAACTTAACGGTTTATTATCAAAACTGTCGTGGCATGCGTACAAAGCTGAAAACGATATTCTTTAATATAATGTCCAATGCTTATGATATAATAATCTTGTCAGAAACCTGGCTAAACAGTAGCATATATGATAACGAATTCATAGACCAACGATATATTGTTTATAGATGTGACAGGGAACTAGAATTGACACGAAAGTCAGATGGGGGAGGGGTTTTGGTGGCGGTCATGCGGTATCTCAAACCATATCGTATCTCTGCACCATCACTCACACCTATGTCAAAATTTTTAGAATTGGTTCTTATCCAGATACCTAGCAGTGAACTAGATGGCTGTTATTTATTTGGGGCGGTTTACATACCGGACAGGTCACCTATAGCAGTTTATAATTTGTACTTTGAAACTTTAAATGAAATCATAAGAGAAAACTGTATATCCAACTTGCTACTGGTCGGGGATTTCAATATACCTGATGCTCATTGGCAACACCAGACGGACTGTAATGCTCTTGCTTGTTCTGGAACTTCATCAGTTTGTGATGTTCTACGGAACTTCATGATTCTCCATCATTCCTATCAATATAACGGAATTAGAAATTCGAACGGCAGAATTTTGGACTTATGCATCGCAAATATAGGTGACTGCTCTGTAACCCAACCTCAGGACTCGGTGTCAGTCCCGATAGACGTTCATCATCCTCCATTTTATATTACGATTCCCTTCTCACCCAATATTTCCACCATGAACCGCAACCAAGTAAAAACCTAACTTTTATAAGGCCAATTTTGAACTTATAAATAAACAACTAATGGACGTCTCTTGGAGCGAGATTCTTGACCGTGTTTCTGCAGAGGATTCGGTTAACTTATTCTATGAAACTATTTACGACATTGTCAAAAAGCAAGTGCCTTTTTCAAGATCTAAGTCTATGCGTTATCCGGTATGGTTCAGTCCATCTCTCATACATATCTTTAAAAACAAACGCAAGGCTTGGAATAAATGGAAAATATATAAAAATGAATCAGATTACGAGATATTTTCATTATATAGAACTCGGTTTAAAAGTGAAGCCACAAAATGTTACAATAAGTACATTAATTGTGTCGAGGACTCTATACCCAAAAACATAAACTATTTCTGGGCTTATATAACGAATAAAAAATCTAATGTAGGTATACCGTCAAGTATGACTTACAAAAACCAAACTTCGCAAGATCCGGAAACTATTTGTAATCTGTTTTCATCATTTTTCCAATCTGTTTACCAGCCGTCTACCTTAACTCCCCATTGGGCACCACCAGACAATTATAGCTACCGATGTGATTTGTTGCCCCATATATATCTCGGTGTAACTGCTATTAAAAGCGAATTAAAGAAACTGGATGCTTCCAAAGGCCCAGGACCAGATGGATTGCCAGCAGTGTTTCTTAAGAATACAGCTGAATCAATATGTGATCCATTGAACATCGTGTTTGACAAGTGCATCTCTGAGGGTTTCTTTCCAGACATTTGGAAGTGTGCATACATTGTCCCAATCCATAAAAGTGGTTCTAAACATGACGTCACAAATTATCGCCCAATCTCTATTATCAGTGCAACATCAAAACTCTTCGAGAAACTTGTTCATAATGCCATATACCCATTCTTCCATAATTATATCATTCCTGAGCAACACGGTTTTGTTAAACAAAAATCCACTATGACAAACTTAGCAACTTATACTAACTTTCTTTTCCATAATATCGACAAGGGAGTTCAGGTGGATTCCGTATACACAGATTTTCAGAAGGCGTTTGATAAAGTGGACCACGAAATTCTTCTCAATAAAATAGCGTTTAATGGAATTAGGGGAAATCTTTTGAGGTGGTTTTGCTCATACATATCGAACCGCAGCCTGATAGTCGTAATTAATGGATACAAATCGGGAAGAGCTGGTATGTCGTCTGGAATTCCCCAGGGATCAATATTGGGGCCGCTTCTTTTCATTGTGTTTATAAATGACATGAATGATTGCTTCAAACACACAAATTTTCTTTTATATGCTGACGATCTGAAATTATATAAAGTCATAAAAAATGTTAATGACTGCTCAGAACTTCAAAGCGATCTTGACCGACTTTCTGAATACTGTGCAATTAATAAGTTAAACTTAAGTATCCCCAAATGCCAAACAATTAGCTTCACTAAAAACAAGACAGTAATCAAATACGGGTACACCCTTTGTGGCACCATACTAAACAGAGTGACGAACCTTAGAGACCTAGGAATACTGTTTGACTGTAAGTTGCATCTGGACCTACATATAGAATATATCATAAATAAAGCATTTAAAATGTATGGTTATGTTTTTAGAACAGCTACAGACTTCAGGCGCCCCTCCACATTTTTACATCTATATCGTTCACTTATTCGTTCTCAGCTTGAATATGCTTGCCTGATATGGGATCCATTATATAGTAAATATAAAATAGCCATTGAAAAAGTAAAAGAAAATTTCTACGGACTATGCAATTTAGATGCCAACTTCCACGCTTAAACTACAAAGACCTTTTAGCCCGGTATAATTTGCTGTCACTGGAGAAGAGACGAATGCTTCTGCAAATAATGACACTTCACGACCTTTACCATAACAAGCTTAATTGTATGGACCTTAATAATAACATTAAACTTGTGGTTCCTAGATCAATCCACCGTCGCGGGGTGCGCGATTACCGGTTGTTTGATCAGGCATCACACCGGACAAACGCTGGTAAGCGTGCTCCCCTCTGGCGTCTTGCGAAGATCTATAATGAAATCTTTATGGATATTGATTTATTTATGTTAAATAGAAACAATTTTAGAGGTAAAGTCATTGATGTGCTGAGGAGTTTGGATCTTGTATCTTAATATAGCTTTGTTTTGCATGTTGTTTTGCATGTTTCTTCAAATATGGATAATAAATATTGTTATGTGACCTCATCACAGCTTATGTGTCAAAAGGTAATCTGTGGAAAATGTTGTGGATATTACATTAATTTGGTTTTATGTACTTTACTGATGGATATTATATATAATGTAATATTGTTTTTTTTCCCAAATATAATAAAATAAAATAAAAAATAACTACTTAATTATTTATTTTTTTAATAGTAAAAGGTACAATGTATGCCTTAAAAAACACCATGTCTTTATATTATATAAATACTTTCATCTATTCCCTTGGGTCGTCAGCGTGATCTCTAGTAGCAGCTACTGTTGTCGGTTTTTGTCAACAACGTATAATATTTTTATTATAGTAATCCCTAGTGATAAGTTTCTTTCTTTTATAATGGGCTTAAAATAACAAAAAGTTACGTATTGCTTAAAACTACATAAAAAACAGATAAAAATAAAATGAATGTATAGAAGTAATTAAAATTACACATAAAATTAAATACAAAAAAAAATATATAATACAATTCTTTAAGTATCGATCCAGAATATCCAGATATTCAACCCAATTTTTTAAAGTTTTATTTTGATTTTGAAGCAAAAACAATACGTTTTTGACATTGACAATCCTCGATTGATTGGCTCTGAAATTGTCTACTAATTTTCGTACTTTGTATTTTATTAATATTTTAAATTATGAGTTATATTAAAACTGTTACTCTGTAAAATATATTGTTTACGTTTCTTCATCTCTTTTCTTATAAATCACTTACTTCTCAACAATGGACGGTAAGAGATAAACTGTTGGTCGGCTTTTGTATTGCAGTACATTTTCTTAATAAATATTTTTGTTATTTTAGGCTATACAGCAAAAAAATCAACATCATTCGAAACTTTAGTGATTCAAAATATTACCAACGTCAACGAATTAAAGGCAAAACTCAGCGGCATAATTCTAGCGGGGGAAGATTACCAATATGACGTTTCCGACTCTATGAAAGTCTTGCTTACCAGTACTGATCAAGACATAGTGCAGTTATGCATAGAAGCGATCGCAGAACTTGTAAAATGTGAACAGAAACGCGATTCATATGCTAACAAAAACATAATTGGACCTATTTTGGATCTGTTGCGGAAAGAAACTGTTTCAGATAATATTGAGCCTGTTAAACAATGCTGCAGAGCTCTGGGCAATCTGTGCTGTGACTGTGACACATCCAGGCGACTGATTGTGAGCTTGGATGGTATACCACTACTTGTGAAATTGCTGGAGAGAAGTATTGACCTGCGGCTAGATGAGATACAAACATTGGCTAGCAAGACACTACTGAACTTTGCAATTGGTGGGGCAGAGTTCACAGAGATAATATTTCAAGCAGGAGTGGTTGATTTGGTACAGAGGATGTTAAGTATAGAACTTAAAAGGGATGATTTTGATGATGATACACTGTCTACATGCTTGTTGATATTGAGTGTTATAAATGACAACACACCGGAGTTGCTGTACAGCGAAGTGGTGAACAAGACTATATTGCAGGTGTTGAGGGAGTCCCTTAATATGGAGATCTCTGAACTGTGTCTGGATCATTTGCATGCACAGGCTGAACATGGTAAGTTTAGAATGAGGAAAAAGAGTGCTATATTAGGTACTCTTTGAGGAAATAAGTTTTGGTATACAATACACTACTAATTAAAATTAAAATCTGTATAATATTGTTTTTTGCAGAGTCAGTAAAGACATTGATTGCTAAAGAAGGCGGGGTGCAGCTAGTGTGTAATCGCCTTGAAGAGCTGGTTACGAGACATACTGCGGGGGAACTGAACGCTGCTGACACAGAAGTAGAGGCTCTCATGAAACAGGCCTGTGAACTGGTCATCATTGTGTTGACCGGAGGTATTTATTTATATGTATATTAGAATTCTTATAGTTATGGCAACTTCATAACTATGTTTCTTTATGTTTAATTACATCTTATTTGAAGAAGTAACAGAGTAGGAGGTACATTTTTTTAATTGCCAAAGATATTTGTTACATAAAATACTTATATATTTATGGACTTCTTTTTTGTATCATTCCAGATGAAGCAATGCACATCCTTTACAATAAAGGTGTGTCAGAGGTTTACCAAACAGTTGTGAAATGGCTGGACTCTCCAAACCACCAGTTGTTGACCACCGCAGTGCTGGCAATAGGCAACTTTGCCAGGCAGGACGACTACTGCACACACATGATGGAAGATAAGATATTTGACAAGCTGCTGGGTAAGTTATTTTTAACCTCTGATATTCTCAAAATGAAAAATGTTAGTACATACTAATAAGTATTCCGATTCTGATACATAAGATGCTTTTTTGTTAGGCAATTTTCTCAATTAATTTTAATGAACAAAAACAAACACGCTCACAATCATTCTTATATATCTTATATATTACACACCCCCACTTAAGCCATACTCTCAACATCTAACACACACAACCCTCACACACACCTATCACACAGAACCATTTTTACTTTTTTGTTTTATTGTTGTTATTTTTTTCTCTCTTTATTATGTTTCTGCTAACAATAACCTTTCAACCTGGATTAGCTTACTTTGTTCTGTAACTTTTTGTTACTGTCTGTTATCATGGTCTTATCCAGGAAATTGTAATCGCAATGGCTTATTCATATAGTTTAATTTCGTATGTACACTGACTTCTAAGATACAGGTTTTTTCCTAGTTTAGAAGTCAGGGTCCTTTTGCTCTGGCCACAGCCATGATCCTGGATATGTCAAAAATTGTGATCTCTCTGGTAATAATAAAGATGTTTTTATATATATAATTTTCTAGATATTTTCGAGGTCTACAACAACTTCAGCATTCAGATTCAGAAGGAACCAGAGAAAAAGCACCCTATTGACCCGATAACAGTGATCAAACTCCTTCACGCGGTTCTCTCGTCACTGCGGAACTTGGCCGTGCCGGTGGCGAACAAACGAGTGGCGGCGGCGCAGGGGAGGGCCGCTCCCATGTTGTTAAATGCGTTGCCTACTACTGAAGATCACCATGTAGCTTATAAGCTACTTGCCACTATCAGATTACTTGTAGATGGCCAAGGTAAATTTAATAATTTAAATAACTACTTATTCATGTGAACTGTGTGAGAAAATCTCTACTAGTTTCAAGTCACAACGGGATTCTCATCCATTATTAGCGTGCGCGGCGCAGCAACATCGTGCAGTTATCTTGCGTGTTCACTTAAGAAAGCCGTTATTTTTAGTTAATTTAGTTTATCTCAAAAAGTTATTATACTAAAATATTCGTTTATTGTTTAGAAAGCAAATCAGTTTTATTGTTGTTGAATTTATTATTTTAAAAATGGTTCTCTGTAGAGGGTGTAGCGAAGCAGTTGGCCAACAACCCGGTGGCGCTGGCGACGGTGGCCAGGTGGGGCCACGCGGCCGAGTACGCCGGCGCCGCGGGGGAGGCGCCGCGACTGCTCGCCTGGGCCATCAAACAACTGCGACATCACTCGCACTGGAAACACATTGTTGAGGTAACTCAAATAAATGCCTATATCTATTTATGTTGTCGCAGAGAACCTAACGGGTGACCGCGGCTCCGGCTCGACGTGCAGGAGAAGGAACGGGGTGGTTTTTAGTCAGTAAGAGTGACACTCCCTCCCGCCTCACCCAGGCGAGAGCAGTCATTCGATGATTTTCCCCCCTTAAAAATATATATATATATATCTATTTATGTTGTTTGTGTACATAATAGGTCCACATAATAATCCATTCATTTCTATTCTCATTCTAAATGATTAACTTATAATTGCAGGTGGATGGCTGTATATCAAGTCTAGTAAACATGCTCGTAGCATCTCACTCACTGATGCAGAACGAAGCCATACTCGCCCTGACACTGCTCGCAATAGAATCACTCAAGAAACTATCACCTGACAGCCAAACAGAATTCGATTACGAAAAGAGCTTTGTCGAACAGTTAATAAAGTCTGAAATCGGTAAGCACGTCACCATACTAATAGACACAAATTGTGCAAAAATGCCTGTTGAGGTAGCTGAAAATTTACTCGCGTTTTTGGACATAACGTCTAAGATAAACAAACTTGCTGTGGATTATAAAGATGCTAAAGTCCACGAATGTTTAATGAAATTCTCAGATTCAAGAGCTGATCTGACAACTGACATGAAATCGTGTATTTTTGGTGTTTTCTCATCTATTACTAACAACGGGAAAAATGATTAAATTATCACTGAATGCTCTCAAGGGAAGTGAAGATACCAAAATACCAAATATTTTAAGTTTGATGTTGAAATGATGAATGATTTACTATGATTATGTGAATGTTGCAACATTATGAATTCAAGATTTGTTCTAATTATTGTGATGTAACTTGGAGCAAAGCAAATATGGTGGGTCTGTCAGGCATGGAAGGTAACCATCAAAACCTTAAAATCTATAGTCCCTGTAAAAAGTACTTATATGGCCCAAGCCTAAGTAACAACTATTTGTAGTAAATATTAATTTTCGAGCAATTATTTAATCAATTCTTAGTCTATGCATGTGTGATAATCATGATAAAAAGTTTTAAGTCTAAGAAGTGGTTAATCACTAGTTTAATCATTTAAATTTTATTATTATTCTTAAACTTATTTAGATTTGTGCCCGGTTCTTGTAATGCAAAAGTAAGTAAGCTAATTTACCAATGAGTGAAGCCAAACAGTTCCTCTATGTTTAACCCATCGGAAACGAAAGAGGCCGGGCAGTCGTAAATCAAGATATTATATAAACAATCCTCCTACAATTTTGTAAGCTTTTTAAAACTCTCTCTAGTCATAGTTTTAATCTTTCTCTATTTGAGTAAATGCTAGAATTTTATGCATTTAAACTTTACTGTGTAATGTTTAAGCGTATTTTCGTATGTAAGACAATTATTTTTGCAATTCTCTCAAGTTTTTACATTCCAACATTTGAAAATTTGCCTATTACCTATTATACTGTCGATGTTATTATCCTATTTGATGATAGCTTGCTTGTGGACTAGATCAGAAATTAATGCCTAAGTTTCATTTCACACAACTTAAAAGACAATCAATTGTTTCCTTTCAAAATTAGAACTTAATTTTCTTCATGCACTATTTACTTAAGTGCTACTCGGACAAATACTTTCCGGAGTATGCACATAATAAAGAAACGAAATACTTCTTGTACCTTTTGGTATCTGACTTAATTTTTGTACACACATACAAAAACAGTAAAATTAATTTCTGATCAAAATAAATAAGAAAATGTATGGTTGTAAATTGTACTAATTACAATTAGATGACAGCGATTCTAAAGAAATACTCAAAGTACAATGTAGGTTCACATAGTGAATCATATGGAAATGTTGAAATATTCAGATTTTTCGCAAATATTGCTTAAATAATAATATAAAGTCAAAGTAACGAAGTTAGCGTGGACACGCCTCTAGATAGAACTTAGACAATACAAAGGACACAACAGAAGCGGATAGATCTAGATTTTTGAAATACCTAATCAATTTCTTTTAAATCCCAATTTACTTCAGCTGAAACTATTTTTATTTAAAATGCTTTCCGAAATTGTACTTAAAAGTTATTTTATGTTTTATCAACAGGCTTTTTTACTGAATATACATACGATACATATACCAAAATAACACTTCACAATTTTTGTTTGTTTGTATTGGCTAATCTCTGAAAAGGCTGGACCGATTTACTTTTATTGTAGAAAAACGCAGACGAAGATGCTAGCTAAGTACTGCTAGAGGCATGTCTCTTTATATTCACTTTAATCCTAAGAGTTTTGATAATCCGATAGTGCACTTATTGAATAGTTTGAATTGACGCTTGACTTGTGGAAGTGTACAATTAGATACCCTAGAATGTCTAGACTACGCTGAATGTGTGTTCACTAATGTACTACCTAAGTTTATTTCGTATTTCAGTCAATATTCATAGATTTTCCTATTATTTTGAGCCGGGTGATCTGCAAATTTATGCGTACGACGTTCGTCACATCATGCGGGTTGATATAGGGTCTAACTAATATAAAAATATTATTATACATTTTATTTACGGCTAGCGAAAAGCTCGGCTTTTTTCTTAGCCATATAATGACGGTTTTTACTTTTAAGTCAAGTTTTTTTATTACCTTATTCAAAGTGCATTACAAGGTCTAATCAAGTTAATTTTAATGAATGTATTGTATTTTTACACAATGTCTTTGAAAATAATATAGCTACTTATTTCAGAATGTCAATAATACTTATTTAAGTGACAGACTCAAAGTTCTATACGAGTTCGAAAGTGAATCTTGAGGCAGTTAATAATAAACTAGTCTCAAAATAGAAATGATTACACAATAGTATAGACTTATTTAATGGATTTTAAAGAACACTAAACCATCAAGGCCTAATCATTAGTACCCGACTTTTGAGCAATATCTTTGGTACATGAAATCAATCACCAAAATGTTAGTTTTACGAATAAAAGTGCTATTTTCGATTATTTAAGTTATTTTATACTCTAGACACCACACGCCATAACTAGTGGGATACTTGTAATATATTATTTGCAAATATTAACATTAGGTCCGACCAGAAAACAACAGTGTCCAAAAATATCTTGTTAGTTTGTAAGTTTATTATGTAAAATATATTATTCTTTTACTTAAGTATTAATTGTTAAATGTTCTTTACAAAGGTATCAACAAAAATTGTTGCTCAATTGACACTTTTTACTAATGCAATGATTAATGTATCACACTTAATATTATTGTCATTATAAGCACTTCTATTGGTCAATTGATATTTCTTAATTCTTACTTTTTTATATTTTTCTGGTCGGTTTTATATATTACTAAGTATATTGTGCTTCTTGGTAGTCAAATAATCTTGTTAATGCACTTTTATTGAAATAGTTTTATGGACCAATATTTATAAATTATTATTCTTCAATATGTTGTCCTCAAGATTAGGAGCCAGTTTTGTTTTTTTTTTCCAACATACTGTGTGGTTCAAATGTTTATTCTAAAACTGAATAGGAACTATGGATTGAAAAAATGAAATATGTATACATAATTATTTATTATGTATTAATTTACAGTCAATATGATAATTTACCTTTTTAAATAAAGTAGTTTCATAGATAATATGAATAACAAATGACACCAAAGTGTATTAGATGGGACTAATCTTGAAGATAAAAATATTGAGTAACAAAACGCATTATATAGATTTAGATATTAATAGATTTTCGCTAAAATACATTATATTCTACATGTATTATGTGTTTTATTTCCCTTTATTGACGATCTAGAGTAAATAATAAAAGAAATTACTTCATTAGAAATTGTATTTCTATTATATACATAATTTTAACATCCTCACAGACTTGCTAGGTTTGTCACCTTTTCATTATGTAGGTTCAATTTGAATGACATTCGTTCATCAAACTTCTCTAATGAAGTTCAAGTTTTGTAACAAAGTTGAAAATATATTGCAGAAATTTGTGAATTTAGGGTAGGTTGATGAACTGGCATGTATCAAACAAAATTAATTCTCACTCATCTTGTACTCGATTATATTTAAGAAGAGTGCTTACTTAAATATTTTTTTATTTGAGAGTTTACAGTGACTAATGTTATAGTGATGAAATTGTGGTAAAACATGTGTAAAGTTCTTTGTGGATTTTATTATTTAGATAAATCCATCAAAATTATAAACCTACGATTTTATCACAACTCTAGTAACTTTAACTAGTACACAATCACTAAAATTTGTTCATATAAAAGTAGTCTCTAAACATCGGAAATAAGGTCGATAATGGAGTTACTGGAGAGCAGTCACCGGTGACTTCTTGAAGGTTAATCAGTTAATTACCAAAAGTAACAGCATTCTTCCCAAATGAAATCAAGTACAGTCTATGGCATTTACTCAACGGTTAACACTAGCAAGCAGGTTGTATTACATAGTTTCATCTAAATCCATGATGGATCTTTCTTGAATCATTGTGGAATGTTTAGTGATGGTCATACGGAACTTGAGTTCTTCATCGGATATTAAATGGTCCTTTGTTATGGGTCCCCTGTTACCACATCCAGCCACTGTAAAGAGAATTAGAAGTTATTATGAAGATGATAAGGTGCATTTTGTATTGTAACAAGTAGAATAGTATGGTTCCTTCACTACTTTGAGATTTGCCAAAATCTCCAAAGTCTAAATAAAGTTGTATTTGCTTACCTGGACATTTGGATCTAGGTTTTGTGGAAATCAAATTCATAATAGTAGCTCTCTCATAGATGTGTCCACAAACTGTGTTCTTTACTGGATCAGTTACCGGCCTCTTTGTTATGGGATCCAACTGCAATAAAAATAAGAATGTTATCAAGTGTAATATAAAAGTCAATAAATTATTTCCATTGCTTTTTAGCTAAAGTAGGTAGGTACGTAAACTTTAATTCTCTATTGCATTTATGTGTACTTACATATTGATCCTGTGATTCTGTTATCGCCAAATCTGATTCATCTAAATTACCTGTAAAAGAAACATGAAATAAACTCATATGCAAACTTTTGATTCATATTTATGAAGGACCAAAATATCAACAAGTCTTACGTGCAGCACTCTCCAATCCCTTTTGGAATCTCTTATTGAATTCAGTCATATATGGATGATTGTCGACCCTGAGCCGTTTCCCTGCTAGATTACTCAGGTGGGCTTGGAACCTCTCCTCTAAAGTATCCAAATTTGAAGTATCAGTCTCATTCTGTAAATAAATACAATTCCATAGACTAGGTTTAACTTTTTATGGGTGTGTGTTTCAGATATAAGTCTTGTGTAATACAACAATCTAAACAAGAATTAAACATTGGTAAGTTTGTGTTTGTTGTATAGTTGTGTATGCTGCATTGTAAGGACAATCTAGAGTATGATAACAAAATACAAACTCTCAACTTCATTGGGAACTCGAGTCAGGCAAAGTGATAATAGGTTTTTTTAAACTTCAATAGTGCCATGCAGTCTAGAATTTTGCCTGGTTTATGGCAATAGGCTCATTCCTATTACATGGGACTCATAACATAACTAGTGAAAAGTGGGTGTTACATTGTACAGTGGGATGAAGTGCCGTAATGTGCACCTCTACCTACTACATAAAAGGCATAATGTTATGTTAAGTCAACTTCATTGCTTAATCAAGTGCCGAGTAGGTTGATCAATAATAATTTAGAATAATGATAAATAATTTGGAAGTTTCCTAGATAAGCAGAATGAGTCATCAAACAAAAATGTTCGACGAACCACTATAAGTATGATTTACATGTGTGTATCAATACTTCATTCAGTTGGAAATGTTGACAAAGTGGAAAAAATAAGAGCTGCCTATTATCGCTTAGTAGTATGTACAATATTTTATTGTACAGGATAGAATAAAATCTAACCTAAAAATACTACAAGACGAATTCTTACCTTTGCTCTCTCCATAGCTTCAATGGTAACGTCTTGCTGGGCTTCTAAAGTGCAATACTGCTGGACACACAACTTTAGTTTATCAAATTCAGCTTCTTTTTCACTATCTAAATATTTTGAGACATTATCTGTACACAAATAAAGGCTAGTTATGCACTGTTTCCTTAAGTCAGCTAAATCGTTGTCTGCCATCGTAATTTGTTACGTGAAAATTATATACAAAATGTTATTCAAAATGAATTGATTAGAATATTTTCGACAACAAAAACAACTCAAACGAAAACAATTCCCGCCATTTTGTTCTATTTTTGACCAGACCACAGATGTTTTTGTTAACTAAGGACAATCAACTCTGACATTATATTTTTTTATAATGACCATAGATAATGACTGACTACTCGCAGTTTGGCACCAAATATTTCTACTTAAATAACCTTCGATTGACCTTTAATATATAAACCACACTACCCACACTTCTACTTACTAACTAAATAACCCTATCGTTGATGTTGTAGCAGTAGCCTTATAGTTAAGGCTACCAATATGCAAATGTCAAGTTACGGCCGAACAATTAACTAAGGCCGGCGTTATCATTCTCGGAAATGGATGCGTCATCAAAGGCGATACTTACACAGTTTATTCACATAAACAACTATCCAATACTTTGAAGACTACGGCAGACGTTCTGAGAATAGATACTTATTGGTGCAATAAGTAAACAGTCTGAGCATACCTACATCGAGACTCAAAGACTACTAAAAGAAGTCCACGATCAGTTGAGTCAAATGAAAGATTTAACGAGCATTGATGGAGATTATAACGACGGGGTCTCATATCACGACTTGCATAATTACACGGTGATATACTTATTGGCGTCCGCCTTGTGCGCGGCAGGAGCCGTGCACGTGTGGCGGCGTCTTCGTCGAGTGCGCAGCGTGGCTCTGCAGGCTCTGCCCCCGTGCACGCCTCGTCAGCAGCTTCAGAGTGCTAGTGTAATTAGTGTAAATGAGCTATCGGAACCCGGTGATATAGAGCTCAGTGCAATTTCAAGTGCGTGTAAACAAAACAGGGCTACATCACCTATGTTACGTGAATCTATTTTAAGTTAAAACAAATAATACTTTTAGAGACTTGTAAGTTTGTGTGTCAACCAATATTGTGCTCTCTATTATTATCAATGTCTTTTTAAACTCTTACATTTACTTACGTAATTTTTTTTATTTTTTTATCTTAGTCTCTCGTGCCTGGGAGCATGTACGGTCAACCCGTACAATTCCTGTAATATTGTAGAATAAGCACTTTTGTACCGCGAGCGCACTTTACTTCAGTTCGCGTTCGATCCTCGCCGCGGTTACTCATTTGTATCATGTAATTATCATTAAAGTTATATTATCAAGATATCATCGTATCATTTATAGTTGTCCCGTACAAAACTAAATATCCATATCGCTGAAACGATTCGATCCCAGGCTCAGTGGAGGACCAAAATTTGAGGAATTGAAGTTAATAAGATTTTTTGCGTTTCGATATCCCCAGACATTATCTCTAGCGAGAGTGGAGAGCTTAGTGGCTGGCACTGGCAGTGGTCTGGTACTTCTGGTAGGATTAATTAAAGCTGAAGATCGAGGTTAATGATGTTGGAAGTGCCAAGTCCAGGGGCGCATGGAAACAGACTGTTGATGATATTACGTGATTTCATTCAATTTGACCTAGACTAGTAATGATAATATTAAGGAACATCAAGACACTCGACGAAGCGTGGTCGATTCATGTTAGATGTTCCACCCACACGCACGAAGCGCTTCGAGTCAAGCTTCCTTGTGCATACTGTTATGGAGTGAAATTCTTTGCCAGAGTCTGTGTTTCTGAGTATAACCTAGGTGTCTTCAAGGCTCGAGTGAATAGGTTGGACATAATAAATGTTATAGGCACACGTCATAGATATATCTAAGGCATACGTGCTCTATCGTAGGCTGCAACATCACTTACCACCAGCCATAGACCCAAAGAGTATAATAAGTATAGGGCCCACCAGCCGAGATAGTGGCCAAACGTCGGCCCATCAAATATAAAAAAAAAATACCTTAGAGTTCATGTCTTGTTTAGTAACTTTGGGCACAAGAAAATAAATAATACAGTGTTGTATCATAATATTTTTATTGCAAATAATATGTGAGTAAAAGGATTTAATAACTAATACTTGATTATGTAAATAAAAAATGTCTTTTTAAATAAATACTTAAGATTAATATTGCTAAGGCACACTAAGCATACATGTTTTACAGTGCAAACTAGATTTTTTGCCTCGGGCTTTAATATGCAACAATTTTTACAGTGTTGGAATTTATTAAATATTTTCCCTTGGCATTTTTTTATTAAACAACATAATTATGTTTTTTTTTCTATTCTATTCTATACAGTAACACCAACATGTCCTAATGCAGCAGAAAGTTGTTTGAGGTGCATCTTCATATCAGCGGGAGAAATGCCGCGGCGAGTCTCGATCACTTTGAATGCATTTAGGTATTCTAGTTCAGTGAACTGAGCGCCTTTCTCGCGAACTGATGTTATTATTTCCTGTGGATAATTTGGGACATTAGAATATGTTATTTTTTATTTTACTTAGGACATTCAAATAAACAATAACAAAGTTAAGAATTTAATCAGGTGGACAAATATGTTTCCGTTACAATATGTAAATAATACTTTTTAAAATAATATTATTACGTATTGTTATTTTTTTACATCGAAACACAGTTTACCAACGATTATTGTAACATGGCCATCAAATTAATTTACGTAGTGTAATACTTATTTCAATGTCTGTTGGTATGGTTGATGGCCTGATTATATTATTCACAAGTATATTTAGATTATAAAGTGTTGTAAGTTTGCAAACGCACTAGTGGTTGACTGCTTAGGCAGTTTGTATCATTTGACGCGGTTGCATATTAAACTGGAAAGCGAAAAAGCGAACAACCGCGGAGGACGGCTAGCTGTGCGGTTATGCGCAAGGGGCTAAGGAACAAAAGATAAATGGAAGGCTGCATACGTTGGGCGAGCAGCCGAGCAGGTGCAGGTATGCGTGCGCGCGGTGCAGGCCGGAGTGCGGCAGGCCCAGCGCGGCCAGGCAGTGGCGCAGCGTGGCCAGCCGCGACGTGGCCAGCCGCGCCGCGCCCGCGCCCGCGCCGCCCGCCGCGCCCTGCCAGCGCCACACCACGCCCGCCGACATCATGGCGCCCAGCCCGCCCAGCACGTAGCCCAGGCGGCGCGGCGCCAGCACGCCCGCCGCCAGCTCGTGGAAGCCCAGCAGCGCCTGCGCCAGCTGCGCCGCGCCGCCCGCGCCCGCCTCGTCCGCCGCGCCCGCGTCCTCGCTGCGCTCCTCCTGGCCCAGGTAGTGGAAGCACTCGATGCGGAGCTACACCATACAACACAAACAGAATCGAATTTAGTGGCATATAATGTTAAATGAATGAAAATAGTAAAAAAAATTGTAGGAAATATTGTTCATTTATTTGAATAATCAATTTCATATGTGTATGAAATTATTAAACCCTGATCTTTAATGTGTCAGAATTAAAGATTTCACAATAACATTTTAAAAATCTACTAGCTTTTGCTGCTGCAGCTTGGTCGACGTGGAATAATGAGTTCCGGCAGAGTTTGGGTTTGTGAATAAGATTTCATGTGGCCCACGACACACATTTTAATCTCATTATCTTCATCTTATGTGCAGCAACAATAATAAAACTCAGTGTATGATTTGTATACAACATTGTATTCTTTACTCACAAGCTAATGCGAGTAAAGAATACAATGTCATTATACAACTGAAAATATTTTTCTGACCCTCCAGCTTTTGTAACAAATTTAATTAGCCTGCGAGAATATATAGTTTGGACAGCCCTGTTCTAGATCATAATCAACTTCCTGTTGGAAATTTTATTTCGATGCCTTCAGTCGTTTTGTGTGATCGAGTAATAAACATACACACAAAAACACAAACTTAACGGCAATAATAATCAAAACATGATGCAAAACGGCCACTTACCTCTAAATGTAAGAACAGCAAGCATTTATGTGACATTTCGTCTAACTGCTTGACGTGAGCAGAGATATCGCTTAAGAACTTTTCAGGAAGCTTGTTCAATCCTCCTGGACCACCGAGCATGGATGGCAGACTTCTGATGTTAGCGCTCAACCAGTCCTAAAAATATATTGAAACATTGTTAAAGTGGGTGTTACATTGTACAGTACCGTAATATGCACTACTCCTTAAATTTAAAAAAAGTACTTTTTTTTAATAACTCGAATCAATTCTCGCATGGGTGAATAAATAATGCGAACCCGAAGCCCGTAAAAGTATGAAGGAAAATTTGGAATCAATTTATTTGTTTACCTACGCAAACATCAGTTGATCGAGTCAATAACCTTATGCTCGATCGGGCCGTGTAGGTACCTACACTGCCCGATACGCAACGACCGACGACGACGTAGGTAACTATCTCGTGGCGCAACTTTTGGTTTCATACATTTTGCGAGTATAATCTTATCATTTGCTAATTTATTTATTTTTTATGTTACACCGCAGTACAAGCTTGTAATGAGTAGTATTCTGTTAGTTAAGCCACAGGTCCATGGGATTAAAACGACTAAAATTTAACGGTGTATAAGAAAACAATAGGTTCAAAAAGACTTCGACTTGCATACAATTTTAAAGTGTAGCATAAGTAGACCACCCACAATTTATTTTAAACAGAATACACAAGCACATTTTACGTGGGTATCAAAATACTTTTTTGTCGTCACTAAAACCAATTACCAATTTTAATGTTAGTCCCTATATTGATTTTTGATAAATACAAATAAATATAAATACATTAACTTACCAAAGTTTCGCACAAGACCGCAATATCAGCGAGGGTGTTAATATCAGGTATGATTTCTTTGCGAGTGACCGCCCCGTCGCCGAGACTCGAGCCTAAGATTTCTGCTTCACGTTCATAGGCCTGCTCTAGATCCTGGCAAGAAAATATTCTCGTGTGAACAAAATTTCAGATTAAGTTAAACCTTTGTTACAATATCTCATTTTCCCAACCCAACACAACCATCCATCTGGTCATACAAACGTACCTCGAGTAGTACGTAAAGAATTTGTACTCGAAAAATGGCTTTTTTTGAAGTCCATTCTACCAAACTACCATAGCATACTCTTCTCTCTCTATCTCTCTCTCTCTTTCTCTTCACGATTATTATTTCTATAAGAATTTGACTTCCCTTATCAAGATCATTCCTCCTATATGAAAGTGATTAGAACTTACTTCCGTACTGAGCTTGGCGTCCGGATGTATAACAGCGGTCCAGTTGTTCAGTGACATTAAGAAGCGTACTATGTCGTCATCAGCCAGCCATCGTTGAGCTCTCGATACCCCTGTACACAATGAAATGTGTAAAAATCTAGTGTAACATTTTGACTTTATTTTGGAGATACTGTTACGAGACTTGCAAGCAAGCAAAATGTTTATTTAAAGGTGCTCCCATACAGCAGTTATATAACGTTATAGGTACTACATTGTCAATTGTGTAACACGATTGGGACGACATTTTGTAACATGATCTACAATATGACTGTCTCGTTGGCTGAGTTGTCGCAAGTGTGACTACCGAATCAGGCACAGTTTTACTGGGTTTTAAAAAAATTCTCAGTAGTAGCACGGAGTTTGGAATTGTGCCCGGTATATCAATAGGCTCTTTCTTCTTTCTTCTTCAAGCAGGGATTGTTTTTATTTTGAATGTGTGACGAGTGTCCCGTGTGTACGTACCGCGCAGCGCGGCGCCGTGTCCGCACCACGCGCCCGTGTCAGTACGTACCGTGCAGCGAGGTGGCGGGCGCCATGCGCGCGTGCGCTATGCGTGCGTGCGCGGCCAGCGCGGCCGTGGCGGCGGCCACAGCGCGCAGCGCGGCGCCGTGTCCGCACCACGCGCCCGTGTCAGTACGTACCGTGTGCAGGAGGTGGCGGGCGCCATGCGCGCGTGCGCTATGCGTGCGTGCGCGGCCAGCGCGGCCGTGGCGGCGGCCACAGCGCGCAGCGCGGCGCCGTGTCCGCACCACGCGCCCGTGTCAGTACGTACCGTGCAGCGAGGTGGCGGGCGCCATGCGCGCGTGCGCTATGCGTGCGTGCGCGGCCAGCGCGGCCGTGGCGGCGGCCACAGCGCGCAGCGCGGCGCCGTGTCCGCACCACGCGCCCGTGTCAGTACGTACCGTGCAGCGAGGTGGCGGGCGCCATGCGCGCGTGCGCTATGCGTGCGTGCGCGGCCAGCGCGGCCGTGGCGGCGGCCACAGCGCGCAGCGCGGCGCCGTGTCCGCACCACGCGCCCGTGTCAGTACGTACCGTGCAGCGAGGTGGCGGGCGCCATGCGCGCGTGCGCTATGCGTGCGTGCGCGGCCAGCGCGGCCGTGGCGGCGGCCACAGCGCGCAGCGCGGCGCCGTGTCCGCACCACGCGCCCGTGTCAGTACGTACCGTGCAGCGAGGTGGCGGGCGCCATGCGCGCGTGCGCTATGCGTGCGTGCGCGGCCAGCGCGGCCGTGGCGGCGGCCACAGCGCGCAGCGCGGCGCCGTGTCCGCACCACGCGCCCGTGTCAGTACGTACCGTGCAGCGAGGTGGCGGGCGCCATGCGCGCGTGCGCTATGCGTGCGTGCGCGGCCAGCGCGGCCGTGGCGGCGGCCACAGCGCGCAGCGCGGCGCCGTGTCCGCACCACGCGCACCGCCGCGCCGCGCGCGCCGCGTCTGCCACGCAGCGCCACGCTGCGCCCGCGCATGAGAAGATCATGCTGTGTCGAGTCCTGTACACATTTTTTTTTTTTAGAAACCTTGCCCCTCAATAACACATCACACATCATCATCACATACATCACATACACATCACACCCAGACCCGGAACAACAATCTACGGATCACACAAAAAGTTGTTGCATGCGGGAATCAAACCCGCGACACATTGCGCGGCAGCCAATTGCCCAGCCACTGCACCAACCGTGCAGACAAGAGAGATAAAGATATCAAGTTACTACAAAAGCCAATTTAAATGAGAAAGCAAGTAAACCGAATGGTATAGGAATACGTACCCAGCCTTGAGCGCAGTGTCTGGCGGCGCGGCGCGCTCCCTCCAGGCGGCGGGGGCGCGCATGATGTCGTCGATGGCAGCGCGCGCCTCGCCCGCCAGACGCTCGCTCTCCCCCGTCTGCACGTAGTCCGACAGGAACGCGCGCAACGAACACTCGCCGCCACTAATAATCGACCAAATTTTTACTCAACCACGCATAATCATCAACGTAGTAAACGTTAAGTTGAGTAAACTCGACATAAGCGATGAACACGTCACTAAACTTGATCTCTTAATTCTTTACATCCAGCCAGAGTTATCAACACAGTCCAGAGAGAATCGGCATGAACAAAGTTTGCGTTGTATTTTACCAGCTGAGTGATATTATGCTAAATCTCTAATCTCCAAAAGGCCGACAACACATTTGTAACTCATCTAATGTTGCGGATATCTGAGTAACGCCGATTGCTTACCATCAGTGGGTCTAGTGCAAGTTTCTGTTAAGTAACGCGATCAGCACGTTTATGCCGTTCGACACTCTGGTTTGTCTGTTCCAATTAACCAAACCAATCAAAGGGCTAAAGGCGGTAACGTTTCGATCGCGTTAAAATAAAAAAAAAACTTGCAATAGGTCTTTCGGTGATCCGTCTGCTCGTTTGCCACCCCATGCCTAAAAAATCGACCAGGCGTGCAGGTGGGCGGGCGCGGGCCGGCACACCAGCGGGTACTGGTGCAGTATATTGATAAGACAATGATGTAATGTTACCCGGTGACGGGCTCGATGTAGGCGCAGAGCGGCTGCAGCGCGGGCAGCACGGCGTGCAGGTGGGCGGGCGCGGGCCGGCACACCAGCGGGTACTGGTGCAGTATATTGATAAGACAATGATGTAATGTTACCCGGTGACGGGCTCGATGTAGGCGCAGAGCGGCTGCAGCGCGGGCAGCACGGCGTGCAGGTGGGCGGGCGCGGGCCGGCACACCAGCGGGTACTGGCAGTATATTGATAAGACAATGATGTAATGTTACCCGGTGACGGGCTCGATGTAGGCGCAGAGCGGCTGCAGCGCGGGCAGCACGGCGTGCAGGTGGGCGGGCGCGGGCCGGCACACCAGCGGGTACTGGTGCAGTATATTGATAAGACAATGATGTAATGTTACCCGTGACGGGCTCGATGTAGGCGCAGAGCGGCTGCAGCGCGGGCAGCACGGCGTGCAGGTGGGCGGGCGCGGGCCGGCACACCAGCGGGTACTGGTGCAGTATATTGATAAGACAATGATGTAATGTTACCCGGTGACGGGCTCGATGTAGGCGCAGAGCGGCTGCAGCGCGGGCAGCACGGCGTGCAGGTGGGCGGGCGCGGGCCGGCACACCAGCGGGTACTGGTGCAGTATATTGATAAGACAATGATGTAATGTTACCCGGACGGGCTCGATGTAGGCGCAGAGCGGCTGCAGCGCGGGCAGCACGGCGTGCAGGTGGGCGGGCGCGGGCCGGCACACCAGCGGGTACTGGTGCAGTATATTGATAAGACAATGATGTAATGTTACCCGGTGACGGGCTCGATGTAGGCGCAGAGCGGCTGCAGCGCGGGCAGCACGGCGTGCAGGTGGGCGGGCGCGGGCCGGCACACCAGCGGGTACTGGTGCAGTATATTGATAAGACAATGATGTAATGTTACCCGGTGACGGGCTCGATGTAGGCGCAGAGCGGCTGCAGCGCGGGCAGCACGGCGTGCAGGTGGGCGGGCGCGGGCCGGCACACCAGCGGGTACTGGTGCAGTATATTGATAAGACAATGATGTAATGTTACCCGGTGACGGGCTCGATGTAGGCGCAGAGCGGCTGCAGCGCGGGCAGCACGGCGTGCAGGTGGGCGGGCGCGGGCCGGCACACCAGCGGGTACTGGTGCAGTATATTGATAAGACAATGATGTAATGTTACCCGGTGACGGGCTCGATGTAGGCGCAGAGCGGCTGCAGCGCGGGCAGCACGGCGTGCAGGTGGGCGGGCGCGGGCCGGCACACCAGCGGGTACTGGTGCAGTATATTGATAAGACAATGATGTAATGTTACCCGGTGACGGGCTCGATGTAGGCGCAGAGCGGCTGCAGCGCGGGCAGCACGGCGTGCAGGTGGGCGGGCGCGGGCCGGCACACCAGCGGGTACTGGTGCAGTATATTGATAAGACAATGATGTAATGTTACCCGGTGACGGGCTCGATGTAGGCGCAGAGCGGCTGCAGCGCGGGCAGCACGGCGTGCAGGTGGGCGGGCGCGGGCCGGCACACCAGCGGGTACTGGTGCAGTATATTGATAAGACAATGATGTAATGTTACCCGGTGACGGGCTCGATGTAGGCGCAGAGCGGCTGCAGCGCGGGCAGCACGGCGTGCAGGTGGGCGGGGGCGCGGGCCGGCACACCAGCGGGTACTGGTGCAGTATATTGATAAGACAATGATGTAATGTTACCCGGTGACGGGCTCGATGTAGGCGCAGAGCGGCTGCAGCGCGGGCAGCACGGCGTGCAGGTGGGCGGGCGCGGGCCGGCACACCAGCGGGTACTGGTGCAGTATATTGATAAGACAATGATGTAATGTTACCCGGTGACGGGCTCGATGTAGGCGCAGAGCGGCTGCAGCGCGGGCAGCACGGCGTGCAGGTGGGCGGGCGCGGGCCGGCACACCAGCGGGTACTGGTGCAGTATATTGATAAGACAATGATGTAATGTTACCCGGTGACGGGCTCGATGTAGGCGCAGAGCGGCTGCAGCGCGGGCAGCACGGCGTGCAGGTGGGCGGGCGCGGGCCGGCACACCAGCGGGTACTGGTGCAGTATATTGATAAGACAATGATGTAATGTTACCCGGTGACGGGCTCGATGTAGGCGCAGAGCGGCTGCAGCGCGGGCAGCACGGCGTGCAGGTGGGCGGGCGCGGGCCGGCACACCAGCGGGTACTGGTGCCGCCGCGCCGATAGCGCCGCCGGCACCGCCGGGGGACCTGCGAGGGGAGAAGATAAATATGGTAGTTAGCGTCAATACAATTAACAGATGATATTGTTAGAAATGACAAAATCTAGTCTTAGCTAGTAAATATTGCATGTCGACTTTGTACCTAAAATCCGAAAAGTTGATAAAAACCAAACATGACCAGTACTTCGAAAGTACATCGTAACTAAAACTAAAGATTTGACTAGCAATCTACGAAACGTTACGTTAACTCGACGGAAACGCTACCGCGTCCGGCCGGCTTAAGTGAACCAACCAATCAGAACGTTGAACTCGCTCGATACTGTTACGATACGAATGCGATAGTTATTCGTGCTTGGCACTCTGATTAGTTGGCTCATTTCGGGCAGCCAATGAGAGCGCCGAACGTTATAAACGTGTTGATCGCGTTAACTTAAAACATATTTTGACACCTAACGTTACATAGTACAATAAAAGATTCAACTTGACACTCAAAACTGAACAGATATAAAAAATAAAAATGTACACTGAGACCTGAAAATTATGAGTCAAGTTTCATTTATTATTCAGCAGCTTTTCAAGATCATTAATTCGTGTGAAGACGACGCAAGAACTAGTTTTCTATAAAGACTACAACTACAAAGCAAATATCATGAAAATGCTTCCTAAATACATGTTCTAAAGAAAATCTACTTTCTTATTATACTTACCGGACAATTTGAATAGTTTAGGCCGTCGTCGTTGTGGCCTCTTCTTGGCGAAGTAGTCAGCGAGTCTCAGTTCAGTAGTATCAGTCACTGCAGCGCTCACTGAGCGTTGCGCTGCGAGGTTCACGCTCTCAATCTCTAAGTACTCCGTTAGGAGCAGTTGTAGCTGGAATTATGTATAAAGCTTTGACTATAATTGATGTAAGTGAAAATTATTAAAGCCAAAAAAAATGGCACCTTACGCGTTATGACCGTGGCAGTATTGACTGTGTGTTTCTCACACATTCTGTCTGTTTCATTTACGAAAGGAACAAGCTAACTCTCAAGGTTATTGAGATAAAAATAATAAATTACATAATTATGCTTCTAACATACATTATTTACTTTACGAGGATGCTCGACTAGTTTCGAGCCCAACCGGAGCCTATACGTTGCCAACACCAAAAAATCGTACAAACATTATTCTTACGATGTAAACAAATACTCACCACTTGTTGCACAGCGCTCCAGTAATGTTGTTCAGTATGCAGACAGGAGTCAGGGACGTGATACTTTTGCAGCGAGGCCCTCCATAGTTGTAGCAATCTGGAACGATATTTTTATGATATTCTATGTGTAGTTTTTCATGGTGAGAAAATGATGATTGTTTAAATAATTTTAATCCTAAGTTGTATATATTTTATTATTAATGTAGTAATAGTTAGTTTTAATTTTATTTAAGTTTTTATTTGAATAAATTCATTACTTAATAAAAAATGCAAAGTTAAGTTAGACCTTAATATGTTTTTATACCAGGTTTCTGAATAATTGACTTCATTTGATAAAATTTAATTTCGTGTAACTTTGTGTTTGCTTTTTTGCTTGTGATTGCTACTTTGTGTAAAAATAATATTTACAAGGGAAAGTACAGAGATATATTTACATGTAATGGAAAGGTATTTGCTAGTTTAAAATAATAAACAACAACAAAACAATTCTTATAACCCGTCTCTTTCCTTCCCTCACTCACCTCTTGTTCCTCGTAGCGCACGCTCGGAATTCTTCGCTCAAACTCGTGACTAGTCTCGCTAAAGGTCGTCCTGTCTCTGTCACACCCTCACAGTCTGGTATCTCGCCTTCTTCTTCTACATCGGCGTCCGCTTCAACTTCTCCTTCTTCAATAATGCGACGAGACACGGAGTCGATTACTTCTAGAAGTTCATTTTGAATTTGGACCTTGAATTTCTGTAAAAAATATTAAGAGTTAGTGATGTCTGTCTATTTAAAGGTGGAAACGAAATCTTATCGATTAGAAATCGATTAGAGAAAACGATTATGTTATAAAACTACGAGTATCGAGAGATAGCAGAACTTTAATTAGCCTTATTTAATAACCTCGGTGGCTTCCTTAAGTTGTTCTAATACTCCAAGAGCCTCCAGGGATATCATGACGGTGGTCTCGAAGGTCTTATCCTCCTCCGACAGAGACGCCTCGAACTCCGGTGTGACTTCTTGCAAGTACGCGTCCGTTACCTCTTCACTCTTTGTTAGTTCTGGAAGAGGTGTCTTTGGTAAATTACTGTTTTCAGTGTAAAACTTCTTTTGACTGTCATAATACACCCTGTATTATTAAAAATATATATTAGGCTAGTTTTAGTGTCGCGCTGACTGCACGCTGACCGTCGGCGCTGATAACCGAGACATGTGAACTTCTAGGAACCATGCGCGCTGATAGCTACGCGTCATTCAAAAACGCTACCTAGAAATTCATACATTTTGGCTGTCAGCGCTGACGGTCAGCGTGCAGTCAGCGCGACTCTAAAACCAGCCTTATACCACATGTGAGCCAGACAGTCAATTATCTTTAACCACTTTTTAAAATTACTGTTCATTCTAAAACCAGCTTTATTTGCTCATGCATTAGAGTTGATATTTGTTTATTTTTGCTAAGGCTAATAATTTAAATATCGAATACGATTCTCACCAGCCAGTAGTAACGCAGTCCGCCTCCTTGCAGACACACGCCTCGTTAGTGGTGCTCGTTCGTCTCTGTATACTGCCTCGCTTAGACGTCGGACAATCACGTCTACTAGTTCTTGCTTTTTCAGCTAAAAATTAAGATTTATTTTTAATTAATAATTTAAAAATTAAGTAACTTAAAAAGGGTCTAAAGTTGACGAAATATTTAGGATTTTAATTCGTCGAGTACCGGTTTTATAGACACAATTAAAGAACAATAGGTCGCGGTCACCGGTGACCGCTTGGTGTTTGACAGTTTAAATAACATTTAAATTATAAGATGAATAGTTATTTTTGAATTATCGTGTGGACTACGGATCGAATTAGCGATATGCTCAAGATATTTCTTTAGATCCTGTCATGTTTTAGTTTGAAATCAATAACTGAGCATTACGCGAATTCCTGGTTCGATAAAGCTTTTAATAGAGACTATAAAACAATGTAAAAAGTAGATCATAATCCAATGAGTTTGTATTGAATGCGGCGCGGGCGGCGAGTACCTGCAGATGCTGCCTGGTGGCGTTGAGCGCGTGCACGTGCGAGAGCGTGGAGTGCGCGGTGTGCAGCGCGGCGTGCAGCGTGCTCGCGGCCGCCAGCACGCGCCCCGCCGACAGCGACTCGCGCGCGGACCGCTCCGACACCACCACGCGCTCACTGCCGGGGACATCTCATATTATACATATTTCGTTTTGATACTCCATTTTCCTACATCATCGGTTTGATAGGATTCAAAAATATTTGTTAGTCTATCAAAACTAAAGTGCCTTCAAAATATGACATTCTATACTATTATTTTTCCTTTCAATACTTTGAATTTGACCACTTAATTTTTGATACATACTGACATCAGATATTTTATGTAATTTTGTGCTTATCATGACATCCCATATTATTATATTCCTTAATCACATCTATGACATTCTGCATTAGGGACTAAAGCTCATGATATGACTGATAGTGATAGCTCAGGTCGTTTGTATGTATGTCTCCAACAATCAGTATCTTACTTACTATTTAACCTATTAACCACCACATTCAGCAATACACAACAAACGAAATGTACATATCCTACAAAATGTATTTTTTTTTCTTATCAGCTACAGCTACCAGAAACATATTGGATTAGATTTTGGTTGTCATTTATAAATCAATTATGATCGGCGAAGGGTACCGGTAGGAATGTACTCACATATCAGTAAGCATCTGCAGGGCATAGTGATGGGTGCGAGCATCAGCCCAGAGTCTTTTGAGATCATCTCGACGCAAGCGCAACAACCCCCGACAAGCACCGAGGCGAGCTACCACAGCATCACAGTGCTGCCCCCATACTGTCAAAGCTGACACTACACTGCTGAATTTCTGTAAAATTAAATAATAATGTTATACCAACATTATAATGTCTGCATATTCTATTAGAATTGAAGGAAATTGGCAAACACAACAAGGTACACAACATATATAAAGAGTAATAACTAATGCGTAATGCCTTCAAGTTGCAATAAGGAACCAGAACTGGGAAAGTAGGTAGCATAAGAAGTCATTAAATCAATTCTCATATTGACTCTAAGTCACCCTATATTGCAGAATCACATAATCACAAACTCCATAGGACTTCACTAAGCTAAGTAAAACATTTGATATAATCACTTACTTGCATAACTTCCATAATCTCCTGTGCATGTTGTTCCACCAGCTCATCAAGTCTTGCATCACTCTTCTTGTACTCCTTCTCTAGTTTCGCCCTCTCTTTCTCTCGCTGTTCATTTGTCTCACTCGCTGAGAGGGTGCGGATCACTGACATAAGCAAACCACTCTGAAAAATGTATTAATGGTTAAAATAATATCTGTAGATATGTATGGGTATTCAATATTTTAGGATATTATTTATTAGTTTGATAACTAGTTACAATACGGTGTTATCATCCCACAGGGGACATTATATTATCAATAGTGAAGTTTTCTCTTAATTAGTCAGTCAATAATTACCTACAATCTATTGGTAAATCAATGATTTCAATTACAATGGGTCTATGACCATACAAAGAATAAGAAATAATGTTGTTTTCAATAAATAGAAAGCAGAATATCATTGGAATACCAGAAATTCCTTACTTTATCTCGTGAATACATGTTTGTCGGTCAAATACTAAATACTCACTGTCTCTTTTCCTTGTTTAACACCCCGAGGGGGTTTAGTAGGAGGAGGAGAGGACATTATGTTGTTGTAATTCGGTGGTTTTCCTTATTTTTGTGATAAAATAATGATATCACAGCTATGTGTATGTACGCCCCTTGAAATAAAACAACACCAATTGTCAAAGATGTCAATTGTCAAAAAATGACAGCAGACAGCGTCATTATGTCAGATGCTGATATAGATGTTACTCTGTTCAGAAATCTGAAATACTTTAATAGTAAAACTGGTAAATAAACTGGGTGCTTACATGTTGATATCGATTTTTTTGATATCCTCAATATTTAATAAAAGTGTCATTGAGAGCTAACTAGCAAACTAGCTTTGCTTACTGTAATTCTATTTCAGCATTTTCACAACGAAGAAATTGACGTCGTCTCTTGTCATCTGTTTTTCTGTCAAATTATCATTTTTGAATTCAAAAAGTCCGTTTTGTTTACAAGTAATTTATTTTACATCTATTCGTTATAAATTACTGCAAAAGAGTACTGTAACAAAGAAAGCATCTTAGTTTCGAGTGCCAGTAACCATGGATTACTCCACTATCAGTAACAAGACCAATTATACAGAGGCTGAAGAACTTACAAATGGTGAACTGAGTGAACGGTATTATTTGCTAAAGAAACAATACGACAATCTTTCGAGTAGTTATGAAGCGACCAAACAAGAGCTACACGATGCTAGGAGAAGCTACCAAACAGCTTTGGACGTTCAAAGGCACTTGAATGCTGAGTTAGAAAGTTACCAGGCTGATGAAGGTCGGCGTAAGAATGAGTTCACTACTCGTATAACAAACCTTCAAGAAGAAATCTCGGAGCTAAAAGAAGAACGTACACAACTAACCGAACAACATGCAGCAGAAATTACTAAGTTTGAAACTCAGATTCGTAATTTGAAAGAAGAACAATCTTTAAAAGTACGAGAAAGTCCGGAGCGAGATAATTCTGAGTTAGAAGACGCGCGGAAAACTGTAAACAGCGCTCTGTCTGATGCCGCTGCCGCGAAAGCAGCGCTTGAAGAAGCCAAAATGGAAATCGCATCATGGCGCTTAAAAGCTGAAGAGTTAATCTCTGAGATGGGCGAGATGCGTGCGGCTGCTGACCTTAGGAGAGAGGAGCTTAGGGCTGCTAATGAGAGGGAAGCTACAGCACTTGCTGAGTTAGCTGAAGCCAAAGCTATGCTTCATCAGTGCACAGATATTCAGCAGGAACTACAACCTCATGGTAAGTATTGCCTTATGAATGTAATTTATTTTGAACTTGTGTAAAATTAAATAAATAACACCATATTTCTTATTTCAGCTGCTAAAGGTAATTCCATTTTTGCTGAAGTTGAAGACAAAAGGCAGGAAATGGCAAAGAATCTCATTCAGATGAAACAAACAAACTCTAGGGTAACTATTTTTTAACTGATGAAATAATTGTAACAAATAAAAAATTATAGCATTACTCTCATCCGTTAATTAGATAGTGATCTATGTATCTGCTTGTCCAATGTCTTCAAAATTTGCTTAGCAGTTTGCACGGTTGGTGCAGTGGCTGGGCAACCGACAGCCGCCCAATGCGTCACGGATTTGATTCCGCACGGCACAACTATGTGTGATCCACACACTATACAGGAGTGGGGTCCGCATACTAGTGTGGGGCAATGTTTTAAAATGAAGAAAATAAGCATTTAGTAGGATGTTAAAACTTTAATCCTATATTTAAAAGGACTTTAAAAGTTTAATCCTATATTTTATGTTTGTTTTTAGCTGAGAAGAGAGCTAGCAAACAAGCAAGCAGAGGTGGATGCCTTGCTGCATGAGAAGCAAACAGTCTGGGAACAGCAGGCCGGAGCTGCAGCTCATTATGATAGAGAACTTATCGGTTAGTATTAACATTACGGAAGGTAATTATGCTTGTTCCTGTGTTCATTACAAGCTGTTTTATTTTGTCAATCTTTTATCCTGAAGGTCATTAACTCGTACAAAGTACATTAATTTGTATAATTGCAATTTTACTCTTTGCGTCTGTCATTCAACGCTTTACTTATTAGTTCAGTTCGCGATTGACTGTACAAGTGTGCACACAAGTCATTTTAATATCAAGTATTTTTTTTAATTAATTTCTACAATTCAACAAGTTTTATTTGTCAAGATTATTAGTTATCAAGACAAGAGCATCAGCTCCAACAAACTCTTTTTTCCTCTTATGCTACATTTAATTACTTTTTAGAGATGAACAAGCTGCTCCATTGAGACTTGGCTATTTTTTACAGAATGTTTTTGGTTGGCTTTCACTTTTTTTTGTAGAAACTTGGGCATACAGATTTATGATTTTTGCCAGTGGCGCTATCTCTTAGTTTTTGTGTAGTAAACTCTTAGTCCAATGTATTATAAAATTTTAACCAAACCAAGCTAAATTAATATTTAATAATTTATGTAATGTGTGGCGAGTACGATAAAGAAAATCGACTGATTATTACTTCTTGTAAACTTGTTAATATATATGTATAAAAGCCACACTAGTCTTAAAAAACCTGTTATCCTGGAGTCACTTTTAAATAATTATCAATTAATTTGTATCCTGATTATTACAGAAAGTTACGAAGAACGTATCACTCAGCTAGAGGGCGCCTGTGAGAAGCAGCGCCGCGAGCTGTCGCGGTGGTTCGGGAAACTATGTGAACCTACTGCCAATGGCTGGCTGCCTGGGGTACTGGACCACTTGAAGTATGTTTAAATCTGAATACTTTTACTAATAATTTAATACATATTTCAACAAATAAACTGATTTTGAGCTTCCGTTTGATTTTACTCTCCAATCAAGTGGACTAGCAATGACCAAGTTCAGTTCAAAGTTTATTGACGGTTGAAAATAGGCAGGATATTACGAGAAATGTGCGAAAGCTAAGATACAACCTATTTCAACTTAAAACAAACACGTCAGCTATTTACTATCTATGACATCTTTAAGGACTTTGTCCTCAATGATAAGAAATACTCAAACATCACTCAATTTTAAGTCGCGCTTAACTATAGTTCCGTTACGATATTTAAGCACAACTTAAAATTGAGTAGTCGTTCCATTTTTTCTGTCTTATTGCAGATCAGAATGCGAGCAACTAAGAGCCGAGGTACTATCGCGGGGCGCAGCACAGCTCGCCAGCGCGGCGCAAGTCAGGGAACTTCGTAGGAAACTGGCACTGCTCACTGCATCTGCCACCAAGCAGGCAAACTCCCCCGCAAACAAACCTGACCCTAACACAGATCACAATAAGACTGATATTGGTATGCCTAAAGTTGCTGTTCAAGTTAGAAGTAAACTCACCCCTGATGATGTTAAGAAGAAAGTGTCTTTTAATTAAAAATTGTAAATGAAAATGGTTCAAACATTACACACAGAATTTTAAACTTTATGCACACTGAATAAAATTTAAAATTGTGTGTAAATGAGGGCCTTAACTAAAACGATGTATTGTTATGTATAGTTAAGTAGGTATAGCTAATTGTTAAGTTAAATAAACATAGACGACCAGTATTGTAACTTTTATTAACGCCTGCAATATTTACACTCAATACCTTAATTAACAGTACAAAATATTTAATTTCAATCAAATATGAGTATACTCTGGAGATTCCATAGTCATGCTAGAAATATACCTATAATACCTAGTAATTCTGTGTTCGACAGTTTTATTTACGGTACTGAAAAGTATATTTTTCATACATAATACAATATGAATTGGGTCTAATTTTGGACGTTCTGGAAACATTTTAGATGGAGTTAATTAACCAATCATTCCAATATTTCATAAGCATCTGTAGGTTATTTGGTAAGTACAGATTTAATTTCGGAATGGTAGATAGGTACAGCGACTTATTTGAAGTTGCTAGTGTTAAAATCATTCAATTGACGATAAAGTCGTCATACAACATTAAATATATTATTTCAACATGATTTTAAAATGATTACAAAGTGTACGTAGATACTAGTTCACAGCACCTCCCAGGACCCGACGGCCTGCATGGCAAGGCATGGGTCCTGGCCTCAGAGGCTCTCGGGCCTCGATTGATTGGTCTCTACAGCGCATGTCTGGAGAGAGGCCAGTTCCCGCTTCTCTGGAAAGCGGGCAAACTGGTCCTCGTGCGGAAGACGGGGCGCCCTGCGGACTCTCCGTCCGCGTACCGGCCCATAGTGCTGCTCGACGAGGTGGGGAAAGTCTTCGAAAGAATCATTTCGAACCGCCTCGTCGCGCACCTGACGGACATTGGGCCGGACTTGTCGGACGGCCAGTTCGGCTTCCGCAGAGGGCGCTCCACGGTGGACGCCATCATGCGCGTTAGAGACCTCACGACGGGGACTGCAGTGTCCAGCGGTAAGGTCGTAGTGGCGGTGTCTCTGGACATCGCCAACGCCTTCAACTCCCTGCCCTGGAGCTGCATCTTGGAGGCACTCCGATATCATCGGGTGCCTACCTACCTCCGTCGTGTAATCGAGGCTTACCTGACGGACAGGTCCGTCATCTACCCCGGTCACCGGGGCGAGTGGAACCGGCGAGAGATGTCACGCGGTGTTCCACAGGGTTCGGTTCTGGGGCCGCTCCTGTGGAACATCGGTTATGACTGGGTGCTGCGCACCGACCTCCCGAACGGCGTTAGCATGATATGCTACGCCGACGACACGCTGGTGCTAGCGCACGGGAGGTCGCACCTGGCGGCGGCCGATTTAATGGCGACAGCGGTTGCGACAGTCGTTGAAAAAATCCGGCAGTTGGGACTCGAGGTGGCGCTCCACAAGTCCGAGGCCATGTGTTTTCATGGCCGCGGGAACGCGCCACCTCCGGGTGGGTCCCAAATAATGGCGGGAGGGGTTACCATCGGCGTCGAGACGACGATGAAGTACCTGGGACTCGTCCTCGACAGTCGGTGGAACTTCGTGGAGCACTTCCGACGTTTGGCTCCAAAGTTGGCGAGGGCGGGGGCTGCGTTTAAGCGCATCCTCCCCAACCTCGGGGGGCCAAACGCCTCCTGCCGGAGGTTATACGCCGGGGTCGTGCGGTCCATGGCCCTCTACGGCGCCCCTGTTTGGGCGCCGAACTTGTTGCGGCGTCCTGCTCGGACGCTGCTCATGTCACAGAGGGTCATGGCGATCCGAATGATCCGCGGATACCGCACGATCTCCGGGGAGTCGGCGAACCTCCTTGCCGGATCACCGCCGTGGGATCTGGAGGCGAAGGTGATCGCGCGCGTGTATCGCATGCGCGCGGAGGCACGTCGCCGGGGCGAAACTCCTCTGCCGCGCCAGATAAGTGCGTGGCGGGATGAGCTCCGGCGCGATCTCATGGCGGAATGGCAGCAACGACTGTCGCAACCGAGGGCTGGGCTCGCTGCCATTGCAGCGGTAAGACCCCTCTTTGAGGAGTGACTTGAGAGACGCTACGGCGTCCTCACCTACCGCCTGACGCAGGTCCTCACCGGACATGGAAGTTTCGGGAGGTACCTGTGTCTGATGGGGCGGGAGGAAACGCCCGGGTGTCATCACTGCGAGGACCGCCCTGAGGACACGGTGGAACACACCGTAGCGGAATGCCCTGCGTGGGCTGAGCACCGCCGTGCCCTCAGGGAAGTGATCGGCGATGGCGACCTCTCGCGTCCGGGCCTAGTGCAGGCCATGATGCGGAGCGAGGGGGACTGGGATGCCGTCTCCTCCTTTTGCGAAGCAGTCATGCTAGCTAAGGAGGAGGCGGGACGCGTGAGGCAGCGAAGTGCTGCCTCCTCGCAACCCAGCCATCGTGAAGGACACACCGGGCGTCGGGGATCGCGGGACGATCTCCGGCCACCGTAAGCGCGGGCCTGCGGACGGCGAGCATGGGTGGCTCCCCGTCCGACCAGAAACAGACCCGAGCGTACGGCGCGTCGCGTTCCGCGCGCGCCTCAAAGAGCCATCAGACCACCACAGATGGGGCCTAATAGGGCCGATGCCGATTCGGAGTCGCGGAGAACCTAACGGGTAACCGGGGCTCCGGCTCGACGTGCAGGAGAAGGAACGGGGTGGTTTTTAGTCAGTAAGAGTCTGACACTCCCTTCCGCCTCACCCAGGCGGGAGCAGTCATTCGATGATTTTCCCCCTTAAAAAAAAAACCCTTCTCAAATTAAAAAGGAGATTAGTGGTAGAGTATTTAATAGAGTTCAAAATTATTTTATGTATTGTTAGATTGTGGTATATGTTGCCGGTGCCGCAGCAGGCCGTGGTCCGTCAGCTGGAGGCGAGCTCCCTGAGCGCGTGTTCCCGCGCGCGCGCCACGTGCCGCGTGCGCCGCGCCCGCTCCCGCGCGTCGCGCATTGTACGAGCACGCAATCGCATCATCGCTGTTTCCTGCACGCACTTTGTGAATGCTCCTGGAGAATGATGGATAAATTAATCAGACAGTGGGAGATAACTTTTTTACAGATGACGCTCGTATTAACCTCATGTCTATTGGTCCAATATATTTTGATAGCTACAGTGATTGGACAAACTGGCCTATTCCTAGATTACCGCCATCTAGTGAGTAAAACTGGTAGCTCTCGTTAAAGGTACTAACCTGTACCAAATAGGTACCTAAAGGATTAATAGCTCTATATATCTCTAAAAGCTTGAATTGCAATGTAAAATTCCCATTCACGAGCGTTCAATATTCAAAACGGTCCCTCAGTACCTTCACTTCGTTTCCACTTACCGACAGTTTCCCAACACTTGATAATGTCGGAACCCGTCGTAGACGCGTCGTAGCACTCGATGACGCGCTGCTTGCAGTCTGCACAGACTGGCTCCACGCTCACCATGTTTGAAGTGCGTACGTCTATCCGAGCCGCTAAAGCGCTCAGATCTTCTACTGTTATTCTGAAACAAGAAACGATGTTAGAATAGCCAGGTGTATAACTTCGATGCTGTGTAGACGGTGTTGCCGCTGTTGACGTGCCCTCGTGTCAGTATCGTCAATAGTTAGAGACTGATAGGCGATGGTATCTACAAAGGTACTCTCTTTCAGCAAAGTAGGCTTGAAGTTGTTTGCCTGATGTTCTTTATCGAGAAGGTGGATGCTAGCTGCCTGCGGGTATCAAAAATCGTCACAAACGTATTGCGCAGTACCTGCAGCGTCCACTAATCATACCTACTTCAAGAAGGCGTTACCCGGTTATCTCAGAATGGCTCTCGTCCATACACTTGAGTTTCTCTATGAAGATCTTGTCTCTGTAGTCCCCACGTGCTGTGGGCTGTGTATTCGTGGCCGCCGTTCCTCCGCTTAGCGTTGCATCTTCTACTAATCTTTCGACCTGACAACAACGTGCAAACTTATATGTAATTTTAAGCCAGTTTTCAGTATCAGCGTCCTAAATCAGATCCTGTCAAGTCTGGAATGATCTGTCGTCGGCGGTATTACCGAACTGATACGACCACCAAACCTTTAAGGAAAGAGCATAGTTAAAGGGCGGCACCGCACCTATGATTCCACTGGTGTTGCGGGTGTCCACAGGCTGCTAATCGCTAATCGTAAGGTGATGCGTCTGCTTCCTGTTCCATAAAAATATACTTGGCCTCAAGGTCAATAATTTGATAGGGACTGCATTCCGAGTAGGGTGCATCTCATCTACATTAAGTTAACGTTCATACAAACCATTTTATTTGATATACTAATGTGGTGCTCATCTGGTTCTTCTTCAATGAAAGACTCCGTGGCAGATGCTTTGGGTCGCTGGAATGCTGTGGCGCGAACTGACTGGTTGGAACCCATCTTGAATCTGATACGAAGATATAACAGAAAAAATGTAGCTTTTTATCTAAAAAAGTATCTAATAGGACCAGTTGTAACAGGTAATCTAAGGACCAAAAATGTGAAAATCAAAAGACCAGATATGATTACCTTGGAAACCCTTAGGGCTTAGCGAATTGTGGATGGCAAGTGTCAGTCGCTTTATGTAAAAAGCTGACATTCATTTGAATTTGGCTAAATCTCGGTGCTGACTCTCAATCTAACCATTTTGAGAAAGAACCAGAAGAGTTTAAAGCAATCGCAACGAGTACGCATTCGGCACTCTGATTGGTTGCTTCACTGGCGCCGGCCAATCAGAGTGCCAACAAACCGTAATAAGACCTCAGGAGAAAGAAAAAAGGCGACAAGTAGCTAAGTTGAAAGAAACTCCAGATCTTTCGACGATGAGGTAGCACAGTCATCAAAATCTAACCAGCTGTGTGTTATAATCATGTGTTTTTGAGCAATGACTCATATGGGATGTTGTTTGTTATTTGATAACCTAAATTCATTTTTAGAACGGCATCTCTACCTTTTTACCGGCTTCATATATTTTAGTGTGACCAAAAAAA